GGTGTGGTATCTCGAGGTTGAAGAATGGTCCTTCCATTAGTTTCTGCCGATCTTTCATATTCCTTGTACTATATAAATGCAAAAGTAAAGATTAATTGGCTCAATTGCCAATTGAGATTTTAATTAAAGAAATATTTTAATGATATTTGATTTACTTGAACATCCCATGGACCAGGTTTCCATGTTCCTAAAGGAGCTGACCTTGTGACTAAATCGATCAATTCACTCGCACCATTACCGAGAAGTAATCTATCAACATGTAATGAATAATCATCAGGCCAAATGAATTGTGCCAGGGAAGTCTTGGCAGGTTCTTGATCTGCAGGTGGATAATGATGACAAGAATTAAGCTACAAAAAACCGTGTGATTCAATTAATATACCCTGTCACTAGAACTCAACGATGTCATATCAATCAAAGCTTACTGCATCTTTGGCTGCTTCTAAAGCGGCTTTAGGTGTACCTAAGGCATTAGTAGTAACTGAAAAGTCTTCGACAAAATTGTCCAAGAACCTCCAATCTTGACCACCGTGGAATTGTTGAACTTTAGTATCCCATACACCATTATCGTTTTGGACAGTCTCTGAATCAGTAGTCATTTTCAAATTAAATATGAAAATAGTTTATTTATTGTAAGTGAAAATAATTTTTTTGATATATGCCGGTTTATATATAAAAAAATAAAAATCAAGAATTAAATCAAGATCTTGATTAACAAAAAAGCATTGTGATGTAATCATCTAATAAATTCATTGGATCAATTCAAAATTTCTTGGACATTCTGGTTAGCACAAACGTGATCTCAAACGATAATCGGACAAAAAAATTTTTATGATCGACATTGTGCATTATTAAAAGTACTATTTAACAATTACCGTTTAAAATATTTAAAATGACGTTCAATTTTGAAATTTAAATATTAATGGCACCAGAGACTTTTGGATCTGATAAAGAATTTGATGATTTTGATTATAATAAGAATAATAAAATTAAGGAAAAAAAAATTTATTATAAATAGAAGTATAATTCAAAGATATAAGAATGCAAAATTTTCATGTATAACAAATAAATTATAAAAAAATTTGGAAGTAAATGCAATTTTTAATTATTTCTATATAGTATTTATCTTTTTTAAATTATTATAAATATATGAAAGTGACCTTTCAATTAATTTTAATGTAAATTTTTGAAATAAGTTATGATATCAAAAAAAACTTTAATTTTAAATAAAATTATCTTAAACAAATAAAAGTAGAAAGAAAAAATGCAATTAAACAATTATTATATCTTTAGATACATCTTATTTCTATTAAAAAAAATAAGAATATTAAACATATTCTATATTATTTATATTAGATTATTAAAGTATAAATTTAAATAAATAAGTATAACTTTACATAAAATAATTACTATTTCATAATTTATAAAATTATATTAATTAAAAAAACTTTTTATTTAATAATTTAAAAAATATAATAAAAAATATTTATAAATTAATTATATTTAAATAATATTAAAAATTATTATAAATATATTTAATAATAAAAAAATTTTTTGTAAAATAATAGGTTTCTTTTATCTATAATAAAAGAAAGAAATAATTAAGTTTAATCAAAGTGAAATAATCATTGAATCACATATTATTATTATATTATTTGTATTATTTATATAATCAAATATTTTAAATTATTTACAATTTATTTTATTAACTCTTTCTATTAAGAGTCAGAATCTAAATAGTGCACAGTAAGTTTCCTGATCGCTTATAAATCAATTTTAGATATATAAATCAATTATTAAATTTTAAGCCACTTGCATAATTTAGCTTAAATCTAGCTATTCAAAGATGTTGATATTGAATTTAGCTTGATATTATCTTTTAGATACCAAGAATTACACTGTTTGATATAGATATTCTAGCCTAATTTTAATCTCAGATAATATATCAAAAAATTATACTATTTTATTTGCCTATTAGAAGGTCTGTCAAAAATTAAGAAATGAAATAATATGATTTGAGATAAATCTGATCTTACAAACCAATATGAATAATAATTTTTATGATATTCTATTTGCCTCTCAGAAGACCTATCAAAAATCAAGAAACGAAATAATGTGATTTAAGATAGACCTGACCTAGCAAACCTAAAATACATGTCATATTTAGAATTAATTCTAAAGCTGATTTATAATAGTTTTTATAGGATTACTTAATCTAATAATCTCTAGGGTGTAAAAATTTTTTCTTATATACAAAAATTGGATAGTAAGAATAAATTTTAGATATTACTTTTTTTATTTCAGCTATATTTCAAAATATAATTTAGAATTATTTTATTAAAAAATTCACTAGGTCAAATAATTTATACAAAAAATTTTATAAGTCATAAAAAATTAATTCATAAAAAATTTAATAATAATATTATTCTCTAATTATTTATTTATATTATTCTTGCTATATTTCAAAATGATAATATATAGAAAAGCATTCTAGAACTAATTCATTTAGAAATAGTTAGAATCACAAAATCATTTAAAAAATTCATATATTAAAAGTCATACAAAAAATTGCTAGCTATTCTGAATACACTGTATCTTAACTGAACCAAAATAAATTGACTCAGTTCAAGCTGATGGTTAAACTAGTTTGAACTAGCTTATGTAAAGCTTTATGAGAAGCTGTTCTTAATAGTATTTGATAAGAAAGTTGGTATCTATATTATGCAGGTAGCATAAAATTTACTCTTGAGGATGCAAAGCAAATTGCATTAACTAGGTATAGGCCTAATGCCTTTCAACCAAGTATAAAAATAATCAATTGCTATTATTATAGTATTATAAATAAGCCATTTATGATAAGTATCTCTTGGTAATGTGAAAAGTAATACTTGGTGTCCATTTTATTATAAATATAAATATGAATAATTATGTCAAAAAATTGTAACAAAGTATCTTGGTTTACTATCTGAAAATTACAGGTCAGATTTCTTGAAAATTCTTGAATATCCTAAAGGATTAGAACTTAATATATATTACTCAGAATATAGTTTTGCAATTGAATTACAAGATGAATAACATAAAAAATTTAATAAATTCTTTTATAGAGACAATTCCAATAACTTTACCAAATAGCAAGAGCAGGATCAACTCAAAAAAGAATTATGTAAAGAGAATCAAATTGTCTTAAGGTATGTTTGGTATTATTAAGATCTACATATAGTTATTCCTAAACATCTTCATGAATTGGATCTTATTGAATAAACTTAAAACTTTAAATGCTTTATAATTATAAGATTATTTTTTTATATTTATTCTGACACACATATCATAATATAAAAGTACTGAACATATTTCCACTGGATATGGCAAAATAATTTTAAAGTAATATAATGTGATAAAATTTGATACTTACCTTTATTTTAAAATTTTCAGTTTATTACAAATGATAACACAAAATATAATTACAATCTTGAAATATTCCTATGATACTTAATTAAATTATATTAACTTTTTAATTTAAGAAAAAATCTACATGATTTATGCTTAATGATCTTTATATTTTTTACCCTTTTTATTTATTGGGATTTATGAAGAATTTTCAAATAATTCTCCTTTCTCACCAACTTATTCTAGATTTTTTCTTTTTCGATTTCTATGCACATAAATGTGCAAGCGAGATACTATTTATGTGTTCACAAATAGTATTCAACGTAACCTGAAATTAGATGATTATAATAATACAATAAAGATTCTAAATATTATCAATTATAGTAATGATAAGCATATAATTAATACCTGCAAATCTGTGAAAAGTATATAAAAACCTTTAAGTATTGAGAGTGTTTTTAGGTATTAAATATCTTTGAATAAGAAATGTTACCAAGCTGTAGTATATTCATCACTTTATAGTCTATTCCATATATATTATGAATCTATTCTTAGCAAAAGTCAAGAAAAGTCATTAGTTGATGCAATCTTATTACTACAATTGTTTCTCTACTTAATTATGCCATGAATGTATTCCAAAGATAAATATGAAATGAATGACAAAGCTAGATGCTTTAGAATTCTCTTTAAAGAATATATATAAGATATCTTGTATTATCATACTCAAATCAACTTTATTTTCATAAATTTTTTTTGATGAGACTCTAGAAATTCATTACTTTTGAAACCTATGAGAGTCTCAAGCTTGTTAACATTCTTTTTAGAGTTTTCTGAAATCGCACTTTTTCTAATATGATCTCTGAGAATAACATAATAACCTTTATTTTAGTGATAAGCTGACGTTTAACACGTAATTTTCTACTATAAAATTATGTAAAATGGAATTTGATTACATAAAATCAGACTGTTAATATTGCTTATCTATACTTACATATCTATCTTTAATTCTTCACTATTTAAGAATCTTTTGACAAGCATGTTAGAAAATGCATTGTCAAAGTCAGCCTCAGAAACAGAAAGATCAATTCTTTTCAGATTTTTAGTATTATATGTGCAAGAATAACCATAAAAAAGCAAATAAAAATTTTGATAATTATATTTTACTTTACTTACTATGTGATAACAGTTTGTCTTAAAATAGAAATAATTTTTTTTTATCGCTAAGCTCTACTTTTCAATTCGTTCCAATAATTTTTAAGATTAATTTATTAGTTGCGTTGATAATACTCTTATTGTCTTTTTTGTAATCTAAATTATTCAAATCAGAAATATTTTTTAAAATGTTAAAATAAAGCAAATATTTTTTAACTTACTTATTCAATTTCATCGAAAAAAATACTCTATCATATCAAGAAAATCAGATTCAATCAATTTAACTTTATTATTGAAACTTTGAAACTTTCAACTATTTCTTTCAAGTCATTTGTCAAGAAAAAAGATTTTATTTGGATATTCTCAGTCAAATCAAATATATTCCAATATATAAGGCTATAGGTGAAAAATTCATAATTAAAAAAAATTATTACTAATGTCTATACTATCTATCAATAAATCTATTTCAAATATTTTTGGGTCTTAAGAATTGTCTTGACGTAACTTGCAAATTTATCTTCTATATTTGTACCATTATAGAAGACCTACAGATATTAACAGATTGATAACATTGGTTTGAATTCTTTTATACATTTCATGAAGTTAATATTACCAATATTATTACTGGTAATATTGTTATAAATCTTCTTATTATTTTCCTTATCCATAAAGAATTTGTCAATTTTATCTGTAGAATTCTCTTCTTCCTGATCTTCTTTACTCATATCTGAATTTTGATTAGATTTCATGTTTTTTGCTGATGACCTATTCTATAATAAAAATTATTCAACTTTTTTAAGTATACTCATTGAAAGTTTTTTGATTTATTTTTTAAGAAATATGACTAATTTACCTTATTTAATGATAATGCGTTTATCTTTTCATGAAGATTAAGATTAGTATTACATATATCATGACAAACTAAAATCTATATATGAATTTGTGAATATTAAATCAAACCATCTAAGGATCAATAACTGGATATACCATTATTTTTTGTTATATCTATATTTTTCAATCTTCTAATATTCTTACTTTCTATTACAAAAGAGAGCATAAAGTTAGATATAAGAAATTAACAATTCACTTAATTACATATATTAGCTAATTTTTTCATTTTTTCAAACTTATTACGCAACTCCTCATTATTGACTTCTTTAAAAGCAAAGTTAAGTGTCTTTTTATACTTTTTAGATGCTTTAATTTAATGAGATAGAAATATAAATTAAAAAATGCAAGTAGAGTTGGATTAGAATAAGCTAATATCCAGTCAACATAGTGTTCTTGCTATGATATTTTTTGTTGCGTGAGGATTTTGATTTTCCTATTATCAACTTAAAAATAGGAAAAAAATTTAAGTATATTATTGATCAAAGCAAATAAAATAAAAAATCAAAGCAGTTATTCTTTAGATAAAGCTAGCTATCAACTATTACTAGATAAACGGGAACTGTTGTTAAGTCTGGAGCATCTTATATATTACATGTGATCATGAGCGGAATTAAAAATGATCAATTGCAGACTTCAATGTATTAAGAATTGTAGAAGATTACAGGAAAGAAAGGTTGAGAAAGAGCGTCTACTTTTTATGATACCTTGAAAATGAATAATAAATTTACATCAACAACACTTCAATAATAACAAAAAAAAATAATTCAGACGAACGAAAGGGTTACTTTATATTGTTTATATTTATATTTTATTTTATTTATTTTAAACAATAATAATTTGATAAATTGATCCATTTGATAAAAGAAAGAACACGATATTGTAATAAAATAAAATTTTTTTATATTTATTTCTTTTTGAAAGATTATTTTAGATAATAAATATGACTTTTATTAGGATGGATATTTATCTAATTTATTTAGAAATTAGTGTAACTGTATAATCGTCTCATGATATGAGGAGCGGAAAGATAACAGAACACAGTGCGTAGACATATATAATCCTTTGCTAACGCTCCAGACTAATAATAACTTACTATTGCTGACTTCTGATAGTCTTTCTCTATCATAGACGTCTTATTTGCTAAATAATTCTCTAATAACTCTAAGTGAAAAAGTCAACTGGTTATCAACTATTACAATGACTATTGTTGACTTTCAATAGTCTCTTTCTGTCACAGATGCTTTCTTTTTGCTAATAAAAGCTACAGCTTATAAAAAAAAAAGAAAATAGTTATCCAGCTCATCTGGCTAAATAATATTCAAAACATATATTTAACAAAAATAAGAATTTTAACGTAAAAATAAGATCAGTTATAAGATCAATATTTTTTATATGCTGTAGGTAATACAGATATCTATCATATAATTACACAAATAATTTACAAAGTATCATTTATTTATATGCTTAATAAAATTGTGTAGAAGTAGAATCAACATCTGGTTAAATTTATCTTCTAAAACTTACATTTTCTGATGTAAGCATGGGATCAGCATCAGTTTAAATTTATCTCTAAATATCTGATGATAGAATCTGAATACAATATTCAGGCTCATCAAAATTGCACAGCAAATTAGTCATAGTTTTTTTTATTCAAAATCTTATTAGAAGTAATTAGTTAATATATATAAAGTAAAAAAGCCTTTCATATGCAAAAAATATTATTTTTTATAATAAAAGAATTTAAACACTATGTTCAAGATAACGGCTGTTATACTAATGATATAAAAAATATATCAATGATTATTAATAATTATCTCTAAAAAGATGAATTTATCATATTTGACTTAGATAAGCCTGAAAATGATCATCTTGCAATTCGACTAAGGTTTGATACTCCATTAAGCCTGCAAAAGAAAATAAAAGTTAGGCAAAAGTGTAAGAAAAAAAATTTCTCAATTAATGAATAGAATCTGACTTTATAGATACTAGCTTTTTTTCATAATTATAAAAAAATTGGAATGAAAAAACTGGTTATTTATATTGACCCTCAAAAAGCTTAAGACTTAGATTGGGATTTTGCTTTACAGAAACTTTATTATCAACCTGAAGGATATTATTAGACTGCTGAAAAAATGTGAGATACTTGTAAAAAGGCAGGATATGAGTTTAATTTAGCTGTAATAAAAAATTAGCTAAACAAACAGGCTTTGCATTAGATTCACAAATAAATAATAATATACAATTTTTTAAATGAAGTGCACTAATTTGATACTATTTCATATCTCATGATAAAGTAGGTAATTAGATATATAAGCATAGAGACGTTATCAAAGATGTTGCAATTATGTATTAATATAGTTTTGCATTAACTGATAAATTTTCATCATAAATGGCTAAAGCAATTCAGAAAATTTATAATAATTCTAATAATTCTTTTAATCTGCCTGAAGATTTTATTGTAGATAAAGATACTGACTATATGAACGAATGTAAAGATTTATTACTTAGTATAATGTAAAAATTCAGTATACTTACTAACTCTAAATATAATGTAACTATTGCTGAACATGAACATCAAAAATTTGAAAAATATGCTTATTTTTGGCAAGATGCTGAAGATTTTTATTTGCTTTTGACTGATAGATCTAGAGTATAGGTTAAGAAACTTCATATAAATGATGATATTTACAATAATACTCTTACTCAATTAATAGGTATGTCTTTTAATAAGGCTATAAAAAAGATATTAAAAGGTAAAAAAATAATAGTTAAACCTTCTGTTAAACATAGGAGATCAGTTGGTTATAATGAATCACTTTTATCTAGTTATACTGAAGTTCAGCATCTATTAGAATCTAATGAATTAGAAAGTGGTAGAAGAAGAGCAATTGATTGCAATTAGTCTTCCAAAGTTTTTACAATTGATTTTTATTTGATAAAAGAAAACCAACCTGTTCTCTATAAGTTTAATAATAGTTTTAGATACTTATTTATAAAAGAAGAATTCCAAATTAAAAAAGATGCATAATTATCCTTTAATGGATACTTAAGCATTAGACTTACCTTCTCTTTCTTCTATTAAATATATTATTTATTCAAAAGTATCGTTTATTTTACAATTAATCACTTCTTGAACTTTTTTTATTTTTATTTTCAGGCTTATTATCTATAAAAAATTTACCTAATGAGCATAATGCAAACTTGAATTGCCTATACTTATTAAATTCTTTCTCAAGTAATTCTCTGAATTGCTTTCTTCGGTTTTCTAAAAATTTTCATATATCACTTCTATTATCAGAATGAGATCAGAAACTTTTACATGATGCACTACTATAACTTTTCTTTTAAGTATTATGCCTAATACTAGTCGAATGATGACAAATAGGAGACCAATCAGGTCAAATCTGGATTACCAGATTTGACCTGATTGGTCCCTTATTTTTTTGTTTTTAGAATCAGGTGATCCCAATTGATAACGAATAATGACGCAGATAGGATATAATAAGGTTACAATCGGAATGTTATAAAAATATCAATAGAGTTATTCTTATTAATATCAATTTATTAACATCTAGTTTCCAATCGGGTTATCCTAAGTCATCAATAGGGATATTCTTATTGGTCTTTTTTTATTATTATACAAATAGCATATCCTGATTGATAACATTTTATCAAATTTATTTAATACTCGTAATAATATTTTATACCAATAAATAGGGTTTCGCAATTCGATTTGATATTTGAATATTTGATTTGATCAAATTTAAATCAAAAAATGATTTATTTGATCAAATCTAAATTAATCTTTGATTTGATTCGATCAAATTCAAATCAAGTATTCAAATATTAATTTGATTCGAATCAATAGTAAAGCATCTCCAAAGTTTCAGGAGTGATTTTTACTAAGAAAACCATAGTAAAAAAC